TCCATTACAAGTTAAAGTCCTGCTTTCGAAATGTTACTCAAACAAAAGTACTAGCAGCAAAATGTACTTAAAGTAGCTCAAGTAAAAGTGCTCTTTTCAGACAGCTGTAGAGGAAGTATTCGGATTATTTGGCTAAATTAGTTTTAAGTAAAAGTATTTTAAAGTATTAAAACTAAAAATCCTCAATACAGAAAAATTAGGGCTGTACAATAATGATCAGGGCCGATGAATTCAGCTGAGAATGGGAAATTTATATCATTATGTATTATTACAATAATTAAAGATGACAAATGATGGGTTGATAATAATAATAGTTTAAGTAAAGTTTATTTAGAAGAAGAAAGATCTAAGTTGCAAAATAAACTTATTTTCCTGGCAAGAAAATACACACTAGTTAACTAGATCTAAGATTTAAAAAAAACAACCGTATCTCCTATTTTGTTTTATTTATTTATTTATTATTTACTTAATATCCGTCTGCTTATTATTTTCTCAAGCTCCGGCCTGTAATAAAAATTATAATATAATTCTTAATGTTAAGAGAAAGAAATGAAACGTGGGCTGACCTGTGCTTTTACATGCACTACCTACCTGTAACCACTGGATGGAAACCAAACACCGTTAAACTGAACTCTTTACTGAGCTGCTGTTAGATCCGTTGACAGTGTGTTATATTGCAGATGATTGTCAACCAAACTGTGGCTCCATGCACCACAGAAACAATCGACAGTTCATTTTGGGAGTTATTAATTTATCTGATGCTGTTAAAAGGTTTACTCAAATTAGTCAGGTTTGTGAAGAACAGCATCAGAATCATCCTCAGAATCACTGGAAAAAATATATTTCATTTTATATATATAATTTAGAGAACAAATATTATGCAATGAGCTTACTTTCAAACTACACATTGATCACATAATAAAGCAAGTTCATTTCACTATCTGTGTTTATATACCACACATTGTTTTACATTTAATGTCAGAAAGAAATCTATTTCTCAACTTTACTGATACTGGATTACTCTGACAATGTTCATCAAAATGCTTCTAATCATCTTCCACTCAGTTTTAAATTTGATAGCAATGCAGATCTGTTCATTGATATCCTATATTTTTATTTTAAAATGCATTTTAACTAGCTTTACTGCTTAAAACTACTCTTTGTCTCGTATGCTCAAATTACACAGATGAGCCAAATCAGATCAGCTCCTCTTTTTGGTCCGGCTTGTTTCTAAAAAAACGTTCATGTTTAGGGCTCCTTCCAGTTGTAATAATTCACCTGCACATATTTGTTCTCTTGTCTTTATTAATCTAATTTTCTTATCTTGTCTTAAAACAATCTGCATGTGGTTTTTAGTGATGCTATCACTGATTGCTTCAATAATAGTTGGATCATTTTTCTTGAGAATTTAGGAGTAGTATGTAAACATGGAATAAATGGTTTGTGATTCTGATTCTGATGACAGTATAGTAAAACAGTTGTAATAATATAAAATGTGTCTTCATGGGAGAAGCTATAATTTTTGAGAAATATGGTACATTAATGTACACTTAATATATCAGCTTACAACTATATTTCAGCATGTTATAAACCATTTATCGATAGTTTATATATGTTTGAAAAATGCTGAATATGGCAGATAAAGTAAAGTGCTACCAAAAAAACGGACTAATCGAGTGATATGACTGTGTGTGTGTGTATGTGTGTGTGTCTGTGTGTGTGTGTGTGTGTGGAGAAGATCAAATCACCCTATTCATACAAAGAACGACACAACCAATGAAAACTCTCTCACACACACACTCACACACAGCCTGCAGTATAGAATAACAGTTCATATTCAACAGCGAGTTGCTGTTTGTTCACTTTGCTTTAGACACCAAAAGAACATTTCTCTCCCCTGGATGATCACTTCACTGTTTATTCTAAATAAAAATGGTCAGTACAATTAAACCATTCTGGATGTTCTCTCAGTCACACAACTTTGTCTTAATGAGTCACAATGAAAACTATAAATTCTGTATTCCTGTTTCAGGCATCTGCACTTTTATTCTTGAAATTGTTGCACTTCAACCAGAGAATGAAAAAAAGTTTATTAGTACATTTTAAACTCACAACTCCTGAACAGCATGTAGATAAATGTGACTTGATCTGATAAAGCTTTTATATTCATGAACTGAACAGCAGAGAGACAGAGAGATTGATTCTGTGTTAACCATTAGCTGTCAGGGGATCAACGCTGATGGACAGACACATGGGTCCTCTAAAGTTGCCTGGTAACTTCCTAGCAACCGGTTTATCTTCACCATAGAAACCTCTTCACTGGAGAACAGCCTGGTCCAAAGTCCACTGCCTTTTTCCTATTGGTCAGAGCTGATGCAGTCTGACTCAGTGGATGTGGTTTATCAGTCCACATCCACATCCACTGGTTTCCTCCAGCAGACTATGTTGCAGGCTCCATGCTGATGATTCAACAAGACTATGGTGAGGCTTGTTCATAGGTGTTGTCCAACCATGTTGTAAGTAAGAAGTCGTAAGAAAAAGTTCTAGTTTTTTTCTGAATGGCAACATTGAAAGTCTCAAGTTTCTCCTGAAATGCCACCACTAAAGGAAAGGTCAGGGGTCATTAGGATCCATCCTTTGGGAAACATGGACATCTGTAATAAAAAAAAAATACATCTCATGGCAATCCATCTAATAATTATAGAGTTATTTCATTCTGGAGCAACGTGGTGGATGAACTGCATGGCCGACACATCCCTAGAGTCACGCTGTCAGGTGTGTCCAGACCAGTTTGTTTGGGGGGACCAGGAGTGGCACAGCATCAGTGTGGTTCCCAGTCTTGTGTTGAAGTCTGTTTATGTAGTGTTGACCTCTGCGGTTGGAGTTAAGGCTTAGGTTATGGTTGGGTTGCTGGATGTAGCAGATAACTAGGATTAGGGATAAGGTTGGGTTTATGTTAAGGTGACAGGAAACACAGATCAAGGACCTGGACACAACACCAGCTCTGAGGTGAATGACTTGATCCTAATGCAGCGACATTTGCATACAGAGTGTAAACACATATATGTAGACTTTATATACACATCAGTGAGGAAGTCAACTACATCATGTTCCTCTCTCTCCTCTCTGTGGGGCCCTCCATACCTCCAGGGGCCAGGACACACTGATCACTGATTACTT